CTGTGATTATATGATTAAAGTATTAATTTATCTTACTTCTTTTCTAGGTTTGAACTTTATTGGAACAAAGACACAGTTTTACTGCAGAGTGTGCACAGATCTTATGGCACCTGCGTCAAGGGTAGTGGATGCCCATTGCCGGTCCATCAACCACTATAATACCCTATTGTCACACCTTGGGAAGATGGAGGTATATGAAGTTGCACTTATATTTACTCAGTACTTTTCCCCCTCTATTATTGTTATTTTAATGTCCCCTGAATAAGGTTATTGTGCCGGTATTTTACATTAGTTTTATATAGACTTTGCGAATTTAAGTTTCTCTAAAGCTGTTTATTACACCTTCCCCCCACCAGGAAAAGAAGGAGCTAGAGAAGAAGAAGCAGAAGGAAGAGGCAAAGAAGGAGAAGGAAGAATCTGATAAAAAGCAGAGCAATGGAGAGGAAGGAGAGGGAGCGGAAGTTAGCTTTGAGGACATGGACAATATGGAAACTGTTGACGAAGCTCTCGACGATGCTGAGATGGATGCCAGTGCTGATGCTACCTCTGAGACCTTGAGAGACGGTCACGAAGGGCATGAAGATGAATTGGATATTGTGCATGAGACTGTAAGTTTTTAGTTTGCGACTTTCCTTTTCTTTCTTTCTCTTTTATTTCCTGCTTTTGTTCTGGCCATAGTTACAGGTAATCTGTCTATAATTTGAATTGTTGGTACAAAATAATCATTTTGTTTATTAGTAAAATTGAGCAATTAAGTGATTAAAAAGGAAAAAAACTAAATCTTCTCCTACATCTACAGCGTGAGCTATCTTCCTTGCTAGAGGAGGTGGGTGAAATGCTGCAGGAAGATGAGGTGAAGGGTGACTGTGAGGATGGGGACATGACTCATGACATGGAAGATGAGCTCATGAAGGACTGTGATGATGCTGCATTGAAATTAGATGGGTAAGTATAGTGCTGAGAGAAGGGTTGCATTTTATAAATTATTTTTATTATGAGATGCACTAAAAGAAACAACAAAAAATGATAATGATAATAATGCATTTTTTTCTTTTTTATGCCATTTAGGATTGAGGGAACAACAGATAAAGTGAATAGTCAGGAAGAACTCATGGCTGAGGCAGAAAGCGAGACAGCAGTGGAAGGAGAGGCAGCAGAAGAGGAGGAAGCGAAAGGAGAAGAGGCAGACTTGGAGGATGCTAAGAAGCCGGAAGAAGAGGGGATCAAGGAAGAGGACGAGACCAAAGAGGCCACGGATGATGATGAGGCCAAAGAGGAGGAAAAGCCCAGGGCAGTCTCCCAGTCCCTCTCTACACCACGGGGCCGAAGGGGACGGGCTAGGGGAAGGGGGCGCTCAGCCAGGGGGGCCAAGAATTAGGAAAACCCACGTAGGCAGGTGTTTGTGTGTATATTCCTTCATGCGTGTGGCTGTTGATCATATGTCCTTATAATGCATATCTTTTTCATATTTTTTGTGAGAGGGTAAAGTTAGCCCTTGAATAAAACAGTTTATTTTTTCTAGTTTGTAAACAAAAATATTGAAAACCATTCTTTTTCAATTTGTGTGGTGGCCCATCAGCAATATTCTAAGCAATATATGAAATATATAAAACTTATTTTCTTTTTTTCACCCTTTTTTCAGTTTTTGCAGAAAATGAGAGTTGAAAGTTTATCCCAAATTTTCTAAAAATGGAACCAAGTTCATAAAATTTTTGGACTTTACATAAGGCTGTTGTCTTAGCTATTTTAGGGGCATGTGAATAATGTGTGAGAGGAGTTGGAGGCATTGTTGATTGCCTTCCTTTGTGTTAAATTGTTTGTGTATATATGTATGTATTTTGTGTATCTGTCTACATATGTATGAATGGAGATGTGCATGTTTATACAGGGATACCTATATATACATGCACATGTAAACATATACTTGAACTTGTGTATGTTGGTCATTTATATATAGTATACAGAAGTAATACACAACCATTTTCCAATATTGAATACCAGTATCTTGTTAAGTAGTCGAGCCAGTAACCTCAAAGTAATTTTTAATATTTTTTCCCCCCCAGCAAAGAGATTAGTGCTCAACTTTCCTTTAACAATTTTAAATGTGAAATTTATTGTGATTCCGTACTAGAAGGAGGTATCTTTCTTGGGGGTGAGGTTTTGTATTGTCTTTGAATATCATAGAAAATTATTACTTCCATAAAATGGAAAAATATTCCATTCCCGGCAAATAAGTGTACCATGTAGTTTGGAGGAAAATGATGTCCCCTTCCCGAAATAAGGATTTCAGAAATGTAAAGTAGGTAATAACTCAAAAGAATCCTACCATTTTATGCTAGTAAAAATTGTTAGGAACTAAATTTTTTGGAAAGCTTCTATAGTGATAAAAAATGTGAATAGTATCCTGCACAGTGAGAAGAATTTGACAGGTTTTTTTCCCCATGATGAAGTTAGAAATAGGATTGCCAGTACAGTTGTCTCAGTGAGCAGTCTTTGATAGATTTATTGTATCCTCTCCCTCATTTTATTTGTGTTCCATCAGTTATATGTTATAAAATATGTAAATTGATCCTGAAGTCAGGACTCACATCGATGCCATAGTCGGAACCACTGTTTTGAGGGTAAACTTCTCTTGATTTCCCACTTTTTTCACTGAACATTGATGATAATAGTACTTATAGGATATGTATTTATCAGTTATGTTATTTGTGGATTACTTTAATTCCTTTTATATGATCATGCTGATTATATCATTTGTCCAAGTGGATGTTAACATTGCATATTTTATTTTGAAGTATACACCTTGTAGCACAAAAGTTTCCCTTCTAATAAAGGAATACAAAAAGTGTTTGATATTTTTTTCTAATTCTTTCGGGTTGATGTGTGACTACAGTCAAATAAGTTCCTTTTCATAAAGGCATTCATTAGGACACAGGTGGATGGACTGGGACAGGTTTTATCTTCAGTATCTGTGTGGAAGGTGCCTATGGGAGAAAGGATTAGATGATTTTAAGGTTAGAGTATACAAAAGGACCGCACCAATTTGGAAAAGTCAGGTAACATTGTTGTAAGCAATGATTAATGGTATTGATTGGTATTAAAGTTAATCTACAGCAGGTAATCGATTAAAGGGAGCTTACATGGTCTTGACTCGTTACCTCACGGCCTCATTGTCACTGATTAAACAGTTTTTCTTTATTTTCATTTTTTATAAAATATCAAAATAATTTAATATTCATTCCCTGTATGTGTCAAGTGTACTATAAAATGATGTAAACAGATTTTTTATTAGAAATTATTTTCATAGATTGCACATGCACAGCCATCTGCTGGCAAATTTAAGTGTCAGTAGTCTTCGTTTTCAGAAGTAAAGATTGTTCCCAGTGCTACATCGTTATTTTCTCAGGGATAACACTTAATTCAAAGAAGTAGAATAATAGTTTTCCAGTTGCAAAAGTTCTTCAGAGATTCGTCACTTCCCATCCACCCCTCTCTCCACCATAGGATAAACCCAGTTAGCATCAAATTTAAATTACAGAATATTGTAGTTGAGTAGGAAACGTAGCAATCGGGAGAGGAACAAGGAACAAAGCCCTCAGATTCGGTAGATTTGGTTTATATGGTGGTCTTTGTGGTAGATAGAATTGTTCATTTCCTGTGTGGTGTTTATTTATTCACTTGGGCAGTGCTAGATCAAATCTTCCATGACAATCTTAGATCGGGTTTTCATTTTCAACTTTCTATATCCTCTAAAACACTTTTATTTGCCCTAACTATAGAGAAACCTGGTTCACCATGGGATCCCCAAAAGTTGTTAGGGTCCATATAAAATAAACATTTTATCAAATTTATGATACAAATCACAAATTTCAGATAAGAGTTTGTGATTTTTACATGTTTATATACAGGCAAATGTATACAAACAATGAGAAAACGAAAGTTGTAGTACGGAGGCCTTCCCCAGACTTCTGATGGTGGTTTGGGTGGGACAAAAGGGTGATGATAATGTTACATCCAAATTCAAGATGAATATTCAAGTAATTACACGAGAGATTTATCAAACGGATTATTACACTCTGCAAACCAAACTACATGTAACATGATTACAACCCCAAACACTCATACCGAGAGTTAAATTCGCAATTGTGCATTTACTAGCATGATAATGAAACATTTTGACATTGCATATTGAAATGAGTCCCTAGAGGCTAGAAGTATCTTACAATTGATTCCTTACAGCAATACGAACTGAATTCAAATACAAGAGTACACATGTATATATCTATGCATATATAAATGTGTATACATGAACATATATATGGACACATACACATGCAAATATCTAAGGCAAGAAGTAATGAATTTAGATATAAGGTCACTTTTCTGCAACTCAGAAATAAATTTTCTTGCAGAAAAACCAATTGATAGTGAAATGAATGTAGAATATCCATCTATGTAAAGTTTCATTGATAAATAGTTACAGAAAATAAACCATGTTATTTTTTTTATTATTATTTTTTTTTTTTACATAGAACCATACCACAAAATCACTCAAAGACATAAAATGCATAGAAATCTTTGCTCTCCTTTTTACAGAATATTCTGAGAAAACTAAAGCAAATTATATATAATACCAGAGGTCTTATTTGTAGGGGGGATCTTATCTCTCCACTGGGGAACCCCTCCATATTTAGTAACAAAAATTGTGATTACTAAAAGTCATACAATATGAAATTTGAGAAAATCTGTAAAACTGTATCTTAGTAATAACTATTGATTTTTGCACAAACCCTCCTTACCCGTACACGTTTATAAAACATCTAGCTTGTGGTTTTTGTATTTATATATTTATATTTATAATATATGTATATATATATATATATATATATATATATATATATAATATATATATATAATATATATATATATATATATATATATATATATATAATATATATATATATATATATATATATATATTTAGATATATGTCTATATATCTATATGCCTTTAAATACTGTATATAGGTAGATATACATTTACTTATTCATTCATGCATACATCACCATAGTAGGTTGCTTGTAATTTTTATGCTGGTTTTTGTCTCTATTGCAGCCTACCTTTTCTACATTTCCAAATATAGGTTTGATTTTTTTTAAGTATAAAAATGTTATGATTCACTTTGATCAGAAAATGCCATTCCCAACTGAATTTGGCCAAATGGCTAAGAACAGGTTTTCACATGGAATAAAAAAGAAGGAAAAATATCCTGTTTAATGATAAAAAATCCACTACAAGACATGATATATACATAAAGTTTAAAATAAACAGGCAAATGCTCCTCTCCTCAAAAACAATATTTCAAGGGTGGTGCACACATGGGCAATTTTGTGAATGTGTCTGCTTCAAACTGTTCTCGGTCGCAGGGCTGCAGCTGCTCCAGCGGGGTGTACCATTCAGCTTTGTTCCCAGCAGCACTGACAGGATCCCCTCCTGCCACTTGAGAAACATTTTGTCTTCCTTTGGCAGGGTCAAAGCCTAAGTATTGTGGCTGCAGTTGGCTTGCAGGAGGAGTAGGCAAGAGGCCTCCTTTGTTTGCAAGAGGATTATCTGGAGGCTGGCCAAATAACCCTGGAGCTGTGCTTGAGCTAGCTGCGCCTCCAAAGATCCCTGTTCCAGGCGTGTCCGGTTTGCTCATTGTTGTACCACCAAACAATCCCATGCCCCCACTGGCTGCAGTAGGAGTGTTGGCTGTAGCTCCACCACCAAATACACTGTTGGTGCTTTGTGTAGCTCCACCCCCAAATATTGAAGTTCCTGAATTTAAAGGAGCAGCTGATGCAGGGACTGGTGCAGATCCTCCAAAAACACCTGGGGTGCTGGCTGGATGTCTGCCAAAGAGGCTGCTTTGCTGCTGAGGGTGAGCACCCAGGAGCCCTTGCTGGCCCCCAAAGACCCCTCCCTCTGTGGCAGTTGCAGTAGGTGTCCCAGGTTTATTTGCTGCACTACTGAATATGCCTGTGCCTTGTGCACCACCAAACACACCGCCTTGGCTACTCCCTGCCATCCCACCAAACAATGAAGGTTGTGCCTGTGAGGTTCTTCCAAAAATATTTTGTGAGTTTCCCCCAAAAATGTTGCCAGAACTTGGCTGAGCAACCCCTGGTGTACTAGGGGTTCCTCCAAAGAGACTGCTGGACTGGCCCTGCGAGGATCCACCAAATATTCCACTTTGTGTTGTTGGTGTCTGGGCAGCATTTCCAAAAGTGGTGCTACCACTGCTTCCACCTGCACCAAAAGTACTGGAGCTGAGGGTGGCTTGACCTCCAAACACTTGTTTATTAGCCCCACTGCTGCTTGCTCCTGCACCTCCAAACAATCCAGCAGAGGACTGCTGGCTTCCCCCAAAGACAGATGTGTTCCCACCAAACACTGAGGCCTGAGGCTTTGCACCCAGAAGTCCAGGACTGTTTGATGGAGGAGCAGAGGACCCTCCAAACAGACCTTGTCCACTGGGCTTTCCAAATAGACTCGGATTGTTTATTGGCTGCTGACCCTGCTGGTCCCCTGCACCCTTGGCATGGAACACTTCTCTCTGGAAAGTACAATTCTGTTTTCAGTATTTTCAGTATATTTCAGAAACTCTTTATACATCATAAATTAGCAATTTCCTTCACTTTATTGGACTTATCATTGTACATTCAAATGATCATTGCTCAAAGTTTAGCACTTAGAAAAAAAAAACTTTGAAATAGGCAACATTCCTTGCTCTCAGGAAATGCAAGGGATTTTTTTGAACAATTCTTAAACAACAGTACTAGAAGTCAAACTGATCTGAATAACTTTAGAACTCTTTCATCACTGTGGCTTGAGAATCATACTTCCACTTGCCCAGAAAAAGAAAATAAACAAAATCTGTTTCCTTAGTTCATTATTCTGTGGAAAGGTAACTGCAAAATAATCATAAATAATGATAAAAGACATACAAAGACTTAGCATGCTAAATTGGACAATCCAAAAAATAATAATAATAATAATAATAAAAAATAATAATAATAATACCTTATTTATTCTAGCCAAAAAAAAGTTGGAGATAGGTTAAAGGGTAAACAAAGAAGGACAGGTGCCTCACAGTCCATAATCAAGACGTAATTCTTTATCAAACAACATGGTCCTGGTTTCATTCTAATTACAAAGACTATCCTGTCAAAATAAAAATGGAACTGGCCATAACCTTCACATGTAAGATTCGCTACAATGAAAAAATCTGTAGTGAATAATCAACTGTTCAAATTTCTGATGCGATTCATATTGTTATTTTTTTCTTTTCTTTTTTTTATAGCATGAAATCAGATACAAAACTTGGGGTCAGACACATCCAAGGCATTTAACTGAATATTATATATAATTTTCACATTCATCTCTTAAGCCCATATAGTTATTGATTCCCCAATGCCTACTAATAGATTAGCAAAATTCAACTTACTGATTGGGGTGGGG